GCCTGAAGCTTGTTGGTGTTTCAGCCTGAAGCTTGTTGGTGTTTCAGTCTGAAGCTTGTTGGTGTTTCAGCCTGAAGTGGTTGGTGTTTCAGCCTGAAGCTTGTTGGTGTTTCAGCCTGAAGCTTGATGGTGTTTCAGCCTGAAGCTTGTCGGTGTTTCAGCCTGAAGCTTGTTGGTGTTTCAGCCTGAAACTTGTTGGTGTTTTAGCCTGAAGCTCGTTGGTGTTTCAGCCTGAAGTTGTTGGTGTTTCAGCCTGAAGTTGTTTGTGTTTCAGCCTGAAGTTGTTGGTGTTTCAGCCTGAAGTTGTTGGTGTTTCAGTCTGAAGCTTGTTGGTGTTTCATCTTCCTCTGTTCCTGTAGGAATGATTAATTTCTCTGATGCTCTGTCTTTCATCACCTGACTCTGTTCTTGGTTCATGGAGTGTGAAACTAAGAGACAGTTGAGCTGCGCGTGCTTGTACCGGCAGTTTAGAGCGGGGGTGACGCAGCTGAGCTGTGCCCGCACCGGCAGCAGAGCGGGGTGGGGGGAGAGAAAAAGCTGAGCTATGCTTGTACTGACGAGCGGGGTGGGAGTAAGGGAGAGATAACTGAGCTGTGGACTGTCTGTACCTACAGTTTAGAGCTGGGTGGAGAAACACAGCTGAGCCACGCGTTGTTTGTTTTTAGCGTTTTAGCTAGCTAGTATCACGCGCAGCTAATTAGCCTTAGGCCAGTACCGACAGGTGGATGGGGGGTTGAGCAATTCGGTTCAGTAGTTCGGCGCGCTGGGTTCTTTTAACGGAGCGGGGCGCCCCGCTTGCATAAGGGGAAACACTGATGTATTTACATCATGAAATTAGCATATTGTGATATCATTTATTTTCTCGGTTAAGCTTTTTTAACGGTATTATCGTGAACGATATGATATGGCCCAGCCCTACTAAGAAATATGCTAAACGAACGCCGAACAGTACGCTAAAAGATCTAAGATATATGCTACGCTAGTCACTAATATTGCAAAACAATACACTGAACACAAAAGTCCATGCTCAATAATCCAGGACGGTCCAGATGACTTGAGTGAACATTGCTGGAACACACTGAACAAATCACCGTTTAAGCACTTGACCCCAAACAGTCTTCCTGCTGCATGAACGTTGCAATATTATAATTATAATAACGGTTGTTTCAGCTGAAAATGATATTCCTCATGTGAAATAAGTTGTTTTGTTAATAACTATGATCCTTAATGTCTGTTTTGTTTGTGCGTCCTGTCCTCAGTTTCTCTCTGCGTTGCTCCCTCATAAAAAGTTTGCAGCAGAGTTTATTTCTCATGGGGGAGTGCAGAAACTTCTGGAGATCCCGAGGCCTTCAATGGCGGCGACGGGCGTGTCTCTCTGCCTCTACTACCTGGCCTACAACCTGGACACGATGGAGAGGGTACAGTATATATGCGCCCATATCTACACGTCTTGTTGAAGTAACGTACTAGAGCCTGAACGATATGGAAATTTTGGCTATCACCGATATCTTTATTGGGAGGGGAAGGCTAAAATTATAAGTATTTATATTGATGTATAATGAAACAATTATCACAGATACCGATACGTCCCCAAATGCCTATATCGGCCCTACCGATATATCGGTCGGGCTCTAGAACGTACGTCTGAAGATCCATGACTGGCAGCTTATGTGGACGTTTGGAGCAATTCTAAGCTGAACTGATTTGATCAGTTTGATAAACTGTTAGATTTTGTGTTGGGATGTTGGAGTGTCGAGGACCAGGGGGTTTGTGGTGAACTTCACCATCTTTTTGCTCTTTGTGCTGTGTTTGCTTACAGGTGTGCCTTCTCCCAGAAAGCGTGCTGTCAGATCTGGTGTCCTACGCCCTGTGGTTGCTGGAGTCGTCCCACACGTCGGGCGTCTGCCACGCCACCATTTTTTTCTCCATTTCATTTTCCTTCAGGGCCGTGTTGGAGCTCTTTGATCAGCAGGACGGCCTGCGCAGACTAGTCAATCTGGTTAGTACAAAACCGTACATTTTCTGTTTCGTTGCAGTTTTTATCATTCAAAAAGGACGGGATAGTGAGCAAAATATTGAATAATGAGAGAAACTGCATTTTCTGTGATAACACTGAATGACTCCTGAAATTACCGAGTTGGAAAATCTTAAAGAAGCCAAATACTAGCTAAAAGGAGTAAAACACTAGCTTTTTTTTTTTTTTTTTTTTTGGCTGCTCCCTTCTTCAGAGGTCACCACAGCGAACTAAGTCACACGAAGACTTGGCAATTATTTTTACGCCGGCTGCCCTTCCTGACTCAACCACAGACCACCGAGCTGCCACAGTCCTCTGTGTGGAGCAGAGAGCTGCCGTCTAGGGCGCTCGGGGGAGCAGTTGATTGAGGGTAAGGGCCTTGCTCAAGGGCCCAGAGTGGGGCAAATGAGGGTGGAGACAGGTGTGGGTGCTTCACCAATCCCACCCATGTTTTTTTTACGTCAGTACCGGGAGTTGAACCGCCAATCTTCCGATCACAGGCTCACCTTCTCTAACCTCTGCGCCACCACACCCCACTAGCACTAACACTAGCTTACAGCTAAAAAAAAAAAAAAAGCAAAAGTGTAGCTAGAAGCCAAACAGAGCAAAATGTTGAAAGTAGCAAAACATTAGCTCCAAGTAACAATTCGCAATAGACCAGCTAGAAGTTAAATGTGGCTTTGAGACATAAAAGGTTCAAAAGCAATACTTTGTGTGGGTTTAATGCAAATTATGGGCATAATGTTTGACTTTTGTGCACAACCTGTTTATTCTGGAATGTAAACATGTTTTGTAAATATTTATTATAATTATAAGGGTCTATCAGCAGTGATTTTTGTTGGTCCTCGTTTTGGACATTTAGTAAATCCATATTTGCTTACTTCTTTTTTGTAATTTGTTTCTTTGATTCTATATTTTGAGACATATATCATAAAAATTCTTATTAAATTTGCCTTTTTTAAATGTTTTACCTTGTTTTTACGTGTTATGCATTGTTGATTTGATTTATTTATTTATTTTTTACTCATGTAAAGCGTCTGAGTATTTAGAAAAGCGCTATACAAATAAAATGTATTATTATTATTATTATTATTTTTACTTAATGTAAAATTAGTTTTCATGTTCAAAAAACTCTGACTATTAAAAATTTATACTTTAAATATTTTTCTCTGTAAGGACTTTTAGAGAAAAATAAATGGTAATGAATATAAAAGGAAAACTTTGTTTTAGTAAGTGTATTGTCAAAGTGCGTTCTCCAACATGTCAAATTAAAACCTTTGTGTTTTTTATTGACACCTTCTTTCTCCATGTAGATCACTACTTTGGCGATCCTAAACACAGAAAACGAGGCGCCCGTAATGAGCGATGACCAGGTCTTCTCCAGCCGACAGACCATCAGACACACCTGCATGGCGATACGCAGGTAGAACCATAGACGAATTAAAAAACTGTTTATAAATGAATACCAAGTCAGGAACATTTTATGTTTTTGACATGTCCAATGCAACCAAACCTTTCGGAACAAATGCACGTTTTATTTTCAGTTTTAACGTTTGCACCAGGAGTGATCAAGCATGTGAACACTGTAGGCGTCCTCTGTTCCTACACCTGCTTGTTTTACCTGAAGCTTTGTGATAAAGTTAAATATAAAAACTGCACTAAGCATCAACTGTTTTATGGATTTACTTGCGAAGGTACTTTGAGGCTCATCTTGGACTGAAGACTGAGCAGGTGAAACAGTCTCTGCACAACTCAGACAGTGGCTCCGTTGTTCCTCACCAGCCACCGTACAAGGTATGAAGTTTTGTCATATATGCACTTTTATATCTTAAAAACACAGTTTTTAATTAAACCATGCACGTGGCTCCTTGTTTCCAGAGTTGTTTATACACCAAAGAGCAAGTAATTGAGATGACGGAGTTTCTTATCGAGTATGGACCTCCTCATCTCCACTGGGAACCAGTTGAAGTTTTCTACAAGTTGTCCTGCGTTCCTTTAATGCTGCAGCTCATATCCACAGCTGCCGACTGGAAGACGTACATCGGCAGGTAATCTTATTGGCAGCATTATGAGAACTGACAGAACTGGAAAAACTAAACATTTTTGTTCGCTGTTCTTTTTATGTTTTTTTAATAATTATTCCATCTTTGTCTCCCTTTTTTTTAAATTTCTCTGTTTTTTTATGAAGGAGCGACATAGCGCGCTTTGCTCTGGACATCCTGGCCATCTTGACAGCAGTTCCTAAAGTCCAGATGGTGCTGGCGGACACTATAGAGGTTCTGGATGAAAACAGGTCATCTGTTTCCACAGTAGGTCAGGAACTTTCTGCTTTCTACTTCAATTTTCAGACAAATGTGCAGTTTAAAGAGTTTAGGAGCTACGTATTTCACCGTTTGTCTTTCTGCTGCAGGTATGAGCATCATTTTGGGTGTTGCCGAGGGCGACGTGTTTGTTAATGATGCCGAGATTCAAAAGTCAGCACTACAAGTAAGCAAATAGTTTAAACCTTGCTGCCGTGGTAAAAGTTTTGCAGTCTGCTGTGGCACCATCAGCGTGTGAGCCTTTAGATTTCAGCTTTACAAAATGGCCGCTGTAGCTGTTTATTCTCAGTCCTTGTGAATTATCTACACTGGTTCTGAATGGTAGAACTTCTCTTTCATTTATTTTATTTAGTCTTAGAATTATCCGTTCAGGAAACCTTCAGGATAAATTAATTTAGATAATAAACAAATTGGATAAAACAGCAAACGTCAGTTTTTGCAACAGTTCGATTCAGATTCTTAGTTTTTTTAACAACCTCTCTCGTTTCGCCCCCCTTTTTGCTCCAGGTGATACTAAATTGTGTGTGCGCCCCAGAAAAAAGCCTGAACACTGTTGGTGCTTTTGCCGTTACCCCTGTCAGGCAGTCTCTCCGCCACCAGGAGCCCCCCACCACTCACAACAGGGTGCTGGCCCACATGTGGCAGGTGGTGCAGAACAATAACGGTATAAAGGTAAGCAGTTTAAAAAAACATGTTTTCTACGAGGCGAGAACAAACTTGTCCTATTCTTCTGGACGTCATGTGTTTCTGCACCTCTTGTGTCCTTCAGGTGCTTCTGTCTCTGCTTTCGGTGAAGATGCCCATCACAGATGCAGACCTGATCCGTGCTTTGACTTGCAAGGCCCTGGTCGGACTCTCTCGCAGTTCCGCCATCAGGCAGATCATCAGCAAGTTGCCGCTTTTCGCCAGCGGTCAAATTCAACAGGTGAGCACAAGATGGTCAATCTGAACCGCCCCACTCACCCTGCACACACACTTTTTGTCCCGCTCCCCTCAGGCAGGAGGTTGAGGAGCATTAAGTGTAGAACCACTAGACTGAGGAACAGCTTCTACCCTGAAGCTGCTAGACTCATGAATCTCTAACCAGGAAAATCGCTGTAATGCCACTTTAATTTGAGATTTGTCACTTTATCTGTGCTGCTGATTTCTTACCATCAGGTGCTGTATTCATACCCATCTGCTCACACCAGACTCATGTTCAGGCTGCTGTTTAATACACCTTATTATTTTACTTTATTATTATTTAGCATGTAGCTTAGATCCTTGTGTAGAATTTCTTTTTTAATAGTTTATATTTTTGCTATTTTTGTGTGTAATTGTTATTTCGTTCCACCTCATGTACCACATGTGATGCGAATGATAATAAAACCTACTTGAACTTGACCTTGAATTTGAATACTTCTACTTACACTTCTACTAAGGTCATGTACACAATACACCGTGTACGTCTACTAAGGTCATGTACTCGGTATACTGAAGGGGAGTTGGGTAACCTCTAGGTGTGTGTTTTGGTCCATGTACAAGTTTCACCATAATTATGTCGACACATAAATGATTATGCTTTTGTCCCCCCCCCCAGCTGATGAAAGAGCCGGTGCTGCAGGACAAACGAAGCGAGCACGTCCGCTTCTGCCACTATGCTGCTGAGCTGACCAAGCGAGTGTCGGGCAAGCCTCTCCTCATGGGAACTGATGTTTCTCTGGCTCGTTTGCAGAAGGCTAACGTGGTTGCTCAGTCACGCATTACCTTTTCCGAGAAGGAACTCCTCATTCTGATCAGGAACCACCTTGTGGCCAAAGGGCTCCACGACACAGCAAATACCCTCGTTAAAGAAGCAAATTTACCCACAGCACCCCTCTGCCCCAACTCCGTCTCCTACGTCACCCCTCTTCCATCCACTTCCGTACCCAGGACTTGTCGGTTATCCAGCGGGATCGGAGCTCGTGTTGCCGGCCACCCTGGGACTTCTCCTGTGTCCTCAGGTGCTTCAGCACCTCGAGCCCTTGTCATTCCTCACTCGTCGGGCTCTTCAGCTTCTACCTCAGCTGTCCTGATGACTCCTCCTCATCCCGCACCTAACGGACAGGGCTCACGTCCTGTCGGACGGATTTTGTTCTCACGCGATCGCCCAGCAGCCAACTACAACTCAGGGAAGAAGCTTCGTGCACTAAAACAGAAGTCTGACCACGGCGCTTTCATACAGGTTAGTGATTCTTCTTCTTGTATAAATAATGGAATACTTATATCGTTTGGACAATTTAAATGTCATCAGCTCTAGTATATTGTTATGATTCTGTGAAGATTTGGGCAAATTTCATCCATCCATCCATTATCTTTACTCGCTTCTTCCTTTTCGAGTCGTGGGGGTCACTGGTGCCCATGTCCAGCCATCACTGTACTAGAGGCGGGGGTCACCCTGGACAGGTCTTCAGTCCATCACATGGACACACGGAGACAAACAACCATTCACTCTCTCACTCACACCTAGAGCCAATTTAGAGTTACCAATCAGCCTAACATGCATGTTTTTGGTCTGTGGGAGGAAACTGGAGTACCAGGAGAAAACCCACGCATGCACGGAGAGAACATGCAAACTCCACCCAGAAAGGCCCCCGGACCGGGATTTGACCCAGGGACCTGCTTGCTGAGAGGCAGCAGCTCTACCAGTTGCGCCACCATGCTGCCCCTGGCAAATTTCATGTCCAGTAAAAACATTTTAAACTAGGGGTGCACCGATGGCAGTTTTCTGGCCGATCACCGATCTCTTAAAAGCCTGATCTGCCAATTCCGATTTTGGACGATACGATTTTGTTTTATAAGCGACACTTAGGCCTGTCACGATAACAATTGTTGCTGGGCGATTAATTGTCTCAGAAATTATTGAGATAAACAATAATATTGTTTGAAATTTGACAATAAATAGTAATTATTGTCAAATTTAAGAAGAAATGTTTAATTTGTTTTGCACGTATTACCTTTTTTGATCACCAGATGGCAGTATGAGTGTTTGAACCGAAGGATGGATAGTGAGGGAGCGAGCAGCGTGTCTCCTTAAGAAAAATGGGAGGGAGGCCCCTTGACGTGACATGGGCTGTCTCTCTTTGGTTCTCAAAATGGTGGACACTCGTGTGGTTTGAGCTCTTTAGCATAGCATTTTTCACACAAAGCTTTTAATAAAAAATCTTAAGCTTAGCTCGTAGCTTAACTTCTCAGCTTAGCTGCTTTTAACGATCCAATAACGCGATTTTGGATCGTTAAAACGGATTTCAAAGAAAAGAGCAAAAGAGAAAGGGAAGGGTCAGTGAAGAGCACCGGAGTTCCGGTGTCTTCGGTAGAAAGAGAGAGACACGAAGAAACGATAAAGCTGATAAATGAAAATGAGGTTGATAATTTTCATTTATCATGCGATTAATTGATTTATTGTTTGTTGCGACAGGCCTAGCAACACTGTCCGGTGTTATAAGGTCACAATGCACTTTCAATTTTCTAATCTTATTTTATTGAAAAAACATACCCTTTAACAATATCCTAGAAACAATACAAACTTGTTTTAACTGGCCATGAGGTAGTGCTCTGAAATATAAATGAAGTTTAGATAATTGTTGTTAAAACTACAAAAAAATCTGTAAAATAGGTTTCTCATGAAAGTATTGGCCGATCTCTCAAAATTAAGGAAATCGGGGCCGATAAATTGTCCGGCGTGCACTCTTATTTTAAACTATCCAATGTGGCACATGTTGTAAGTGAAATCAGCATGAAAAGATAAAAAATTAAAATAGAGCAAATATGTTTGAAGTAGATCTCGAATAAAAATGTTTTCTGAAGGATTTGAAAAGCTGTCAAAGTGTTGAAAGTTGCGTCAATAAAAGTAAATGGTTTAAAAAATATATAAAATTTACAAATACTTATCACACTATTCCTGATCAAGATGAAAGTTTGGATATAGAGTAAGAATGGCTAAAATGGCACAAAGTACGCAGAAGGAAAACAAATACTTTATAAATTATAACCAACTTGACGAGGAACTAACGGCTTCATCTCCTTTCCTCTTGATCAGACTCCAGCTATGAAAAAACAGCTGGAGCTCCACGTGCCCTCCCCACCCACCTTGGACAGCATCATCACCGAGTATCTGAGGGAACAACACGCCCGCTGCCGCAATCCTGTCACCACCTGCCCCCCCTTTTCCCTTTTCACCCCTCACCGCTGCCCGGAGCCCAAGCAGAGGCGCCAGGCACCATCCAATTTCACGACCCGCCTGGGGAGCAGGGTGTTGTATCCAAAGTACGGCGGTGTGGACAGAGGGTGTCTGGACAGACATCTGATATTTAGCAGGTAATAAACAACCTCTAAATTCAGATTATTTAAGATGCACCTTAAACTAAATCATGTCTGGAGTCTGTAATAAACTTTTGGACCTTGTCTTTCTCTTTGCTTGTTGTATTTATTTTGGTCTTCCTGCGTCAAGGTTTCGTCCCATATCTGTCTTCCACGAGGGCGATGGAGACGAGAGCAGCTTCACGTGCTGTGCCTTCTCAGCCCGCGAGCGTTTCCTGATGCTGGGAACGGTCTCTGGTCACCTCAAGCTCTACAACATCTTCTCTGGACAGGAGGAGGCCAGCTACACCTGCCACACATCCGCCATCACACACCTCGAGCCCTCCAGGGTATCTGAACGCACACAAACATTTAAACGCGTTTAAAAAGTGGCGCTTTGAGTTAATTTTAATGTAAACATAGCCTCTCCATTGTCAGGGTTCACTGCCTAATGTCAGGGTTTCTTCTGATTTGTTTACGTTTTGTAATGCAAATTGTTAATGTAGAAAATTAATAATAAACAATAGTAATGATATTACCGTAGTATTATCTACATATATCTATGGTCCCTGGTCCACCCCCATCCCCCGCAGTAAGTGAAATTCTGCCAAGAAGCAATGTTATATTTATTTTAGTATTTATATATATGTTAAGGCTTTAGAAACCCTTCCCACACTTTTGCAATGTTCTAAACTCTTAAACCTACGTCACTTTAACAACAAACATACAGTACTGTATGTGTAGCTACTAAATTTTACTTTCTGAGTTCTGCAGGACAGGAGCGGTTCTCGGTTCTGGTCCAACTCTGTTCCGTTTCTGCAGACGCACCCTGCAGCGATGAAGCTCACAATCAATGTTGTGAACTCTTAATCCTACTGATTTTAACAACATACTTATATGTAGCTGATAAATTCTACTTACCAGCGTGTCTGCGCTCAGAGGTCCTCGTGGGCTGGCTCGGAGTTCTTAGGTTCACAGCTGAGTCTGGAGGTCCGGTTCTGGTCCGGTTCAGTGTAGCTCTTGAGCGCCAAAACACATTGGAGGGGGTGGGTTCTTCGGTTGGCCAGTGCAGACCGGAGGTGGTCGATTTGAGTCCAAGTCTGGATTTAAACAGTCCCGATGGGCTACAGAAACGGCTCCGGAGCTTGTGGGCCGACTACCAGCTCTCAAGCTTCACCGATGGGTCTGGTTCTGCCCCGGTTCTGGTCTGGTTCAGGTGGGCTCAGTGCGGCTTCTCTGCATCCGCTGGGCGCCGATCAGAACTTCAAAACTTTACCTCTGGTTTTTCAGACGGAAAACGGGGCTTCTTGGCAGGTCCCTGTTGCCTTTTGGGAAATGTAGTCTTTATGAGTGGGAATACAGTGGAAGCTTACAGAGAGAAAACTACAAAACGGCAGCGCCTGTCTGAAGGATATTATTTTTTCGTTAACTTTTTACTGTACAGTTCTGTATCCAGTACTGTCCCAATCACGTGAGTAATATTAAAGTTGACATGTACTGTACAATTTTTATGTTTTGTTTTTTTTGTTCTACAATACTATGGACTGTACGTCCACAAACCGCGATAGAGCGAGAAAGAACCACGAAGTAGCGAGGGACTACTGTAGAATGAAAAAGTGAAATGTTGTAAGAACTAGTTGTAAGTTAGCTGTATAAGTTGTTCCATGTGTACTCTGTCTTTTGTCCAGTATTTTCTTGAATAATGTTTTATACACATTCACTTTTTGTTTGTGTTTCTCAGAATGGCAAACTGCTTCTAACCTCTGCCTCCTGGAGTGTCCCGCTGTCAGCTCTCTGGAGTATGGAAGACGTCTTTAGCATGAAGTAAAGCACTTTTTATCACCACTGTAATCTTAAGCCACAGTAACCATACAGAGGCAGTGTTTTCCCTGGAGGGTGCTCCGAGCGCCCTGACTAAGGTCAGTAATCGAGGGGAAACACTGAAAGAGACGTTGTGTTCATTTATTGTTTCTTTTTTTTTGTCCCCAGGAGCTCCTTTATGGATGATCACTATGTTGAGTTCAGCAAACTCTCTCAGGACAGAGTCATCGGCACAAAAGACCAAGTTGCTCATGTACGTAAACAACACGACTCGATGTCAGTGTCTTGAATTATTTTGTTAACTAAATTTACTTCTATTATTTAAAATTCTGTAACTTCTTTCTTGTTTTTGATTGCTGTTGAGGAGTTTAACACTTTCCAAGGTTATTGCTTTTGCCATTGCAAAAAGTTTTATACTCTGCATTTGTTTATTAGCACTCCCTAAATGTGTTTTTGTTTGTTTGTTTTGCAACAGTTCATTGTACTTGAGCTTATAGTGCCTGGTGTACAGCAGATTAGGTCGTATTTTTTTTATCCTCTTTCCTTTTTTGTGTCAGAATGTCACTTTAGTCATTTTACGTTTTCAATTTTTTATTTATTTTCATTTATCTTTTATTTATTCAGGTAGTCTCATTGAGCCATGAGAACTCATTTTCAAGAGAGACCTGTTTAGGGAGCAGATGGTGGGGGTTGAGGGCCCAGAGTGGGGCAAATGAGGGTGGAGGCAGGTGTGGGTGTTTCACCTTTTCTACCCACATTTTGATGTTAACGGTACCGAGAGTTGAACCTGCAACTTTCCGATCACAGGCCCATCTTCTCTAACCTCTGCGTCACCACTCCCCCAATGTTTTATCACGTCAGATGTTTTATCTTGTGTTCAGAGATTCTGGTCAGCGTTACAGGTTTCTCTCTTGTGTTGTAGATCTACGACATCCAGACCGGTCAGAAGACTCTGACTCTAAATGACCTCACCCTGGCCAACAATTACAAGAGGAACTGTGCCACGTTTAACCCCACGGATGACCTGGTGCTAAATGACGGGGTGCTGTGGGATGTGCGCGGGTCACAAGCCATTCATAAGTTCGACAAGTTCAACATGAACATCAGCGGAGTTTTCCATCCGAACGGCCTGGAGGTCATCATCAACACTGAGATTGTATCCTCTCATCCCAACTGCTTTAAAACAAATGTTACTGTTCTACAAATAACTAGAGAACATGCATTTCCTGTGAAAATGCAGTGTGAATGCTTACTGCAGAAGAAACAGCTGAAATTGTACTTAAAAAACATGCTGAAATGTAGCTGAAATGGAAGAACAAGCCTAAATAAGCAGAATAAAGCAGAAAGAACACATATTTGCTGAATTTGGTATAAATGAGCAGAACTGAGCACAAAAATTAGGAAATTAGCTAAAAAAAAGTTGAAATTAGCACAAAAAGAAATAGCTGAAAAGTAGCTGAAAATGCAGAAAGAAGCTTAAACTATCAGAAGGAAGTGGAAAGAGCTGAAATGAGCAAAAATTAGCATAAAACTGCTAAATAGTAGCTAAAAGAGCAGAAAAAAATTAAACTAGCAAAAAAAAAATCTGAAAGGAGCATAACAAGCTGAAATTAGTATAAAGAAGTTAATTAGGCTGAAAGTAGCAGAAATTACCACAAAAAACTTGAAATTGTCTGAAAACAGCTGAAATTGGCTACAGAAATGCCAAAAAGGTAGCTGAAAGGGTAGAACAAGCTTAAATTAGCAGAAAAAAGCAGAAATAACGTTTGTCCAATTAGGCTGAATGAAATCAATTCATTTTATATGGGGGGGGGGGGGGGGGTGGCAGAAAAGGCTAATTATGTCATAGCAGGATTGCTCTGAATGAGCTGAACGTTTTGATATAAGATTTGTTCAAATAGCTCAAAAACTGCAGAACGAGAATAGTGCTGAACAAAGTATGGAAGAAAACTGGATCACGATAGAGTGAATGCTTCATAAACATTCACACAAACAAAAGTTACATAAATTTAGTTTGTTGTTGGCCTTGACAGCAGGTCTCAGTGGGATCTAAGGACCTTCCACCTCCTGCACACGGTCCCTGCCCTGGACCAGTGCAGGGTGGTCTTCAACAGCAACGGCACCATAATGTATGGAGGTACGGGTCACCGTGTCTTCTATCAGCAGTGATGGATGTGATTGCCGGTGTGCTACATGTCACGGCTGTTCTTCTGGTTCATGATTCACAGCAATGCTGCAGGCTGACGATGAGGTGGATGTTATGGACCAGCAGATGAAGAGTCCTTTTGGTTCGTCCTTCAGAACCTTCGATGCTACAGACTACGAGCCTATTGGTACGTTATTTTTTACTTTAGATTGTAATTTGGTAAATATAATTCATGTTCACCTTTTCATTTGTTTACTGTTTTTTTTATTTATTAGATTTAGAATAATTGAATGTTTCATCATCAGTCCCTTAGCCTGGTGCTGTGGTGGCAGTCCAAACACAATTCAACCTCCACCTGGACCTGGAAATGTTTACTGCTGCATTAACAAACATCTGGTCTCTCATAAGTCTTAGAGGTTGTTCAGACATGTTTACATTTTTTAAAAATCTGTCTGATTATGATCTGATTGTGCCAAATACGGGTCTTGATTCCTTCAATGTTCATTGAAGACATTTATCCTTCAGATCACTGTTTTTAGTCCACATTTAGTCTGAACCCATTCAGTTCTGAGTCCTACTGTAGGACCTACTGAACCGACGTGACCCCACAAGCAGCAGAGCAACGTCTGAATAAAAAAAAATCTTTTCAGATGCTGACTCATCTAAACAGCCTATAGATGACAGATATTTTTTGAACTTTTAAATCTTATGCTGCTACAGAAGCAATAAAATGCCAAGCTCCTTTTTGTTTCTGTGTCCCAGGTTTATTTGTTTTATGCTCCTGAGGGGAGATTCTTTTTGTTTCACCTTTTGCTTTAGCTTGTAAATACGTTTCTTGTGTATCGTTTGGTTTTAAACAGCCACGGTGGACGTAAAGAGGAACATCTTTGATCTGTGTACTGATACCAAGGACTGCTACCTGGCTGTTATAGAGGTACCTTCTGTTTATTTTTTTTTTTTATCATATTAGAGTTTGTCTTATCTTTTAGTTTTAATGGTGATTCTTCTCGGCTCATCTGACGCATAAATGATTTGAACTCAAAGTTCAGTTTCTAAATAAATCAGATAAAATACAATATGTAGTTTTTATTTCACCTTATATCATCACATCACATAAATGTGTAAATATCGTTGACATTTTTTATTACTTTAGTCCCTTGTTTATCGCGGGGGGTTATTTTCCGGACTCCATCGCATTAAGTGAAAAACTGCAAAGTAGGAACGTTGTATTTATTTTAGTAATTTTATATGTTTTAAGGCTATAGAAACTTTTCCCACAATCTTGCAATGTTCTAAACGCTTAAACCTGCATTATTTTAACACCATACGTATATGTACTGTAGTAGCTACGTACTGCAAAAATGTATATGGGTACTAACCAGTTGGAGGTCCGGTTCTGGTCCGGTTCTGACCGGCTCTCTGCAGCCCTTGAGCACCAAGACGCTTTTAGGGAGCGCCGGACCTTCAGATAGCCAGCACAAAATCACACATTGGTCCCGTTCGAGTCCAAATCCAGATGAAAAAAGTCCGGGTGAGCACCGGAGAAAACACTGGACCTCCAAGCAATGCCTCCCCGCTCGAGAGGCTCCCTGGGCCGGCAAGCAGCACTCCGATTGACCTATGAGGCTGGAAGTCTGGTTCTGGTCCAGTTCCCGGTTTGTTCCGTTCAGCTCTCTGCATTCACTGAGCGCCGAAGTCACCATGAATAAAGACCCAATTTTTTCGGATCGGATGAAAACTTTCCCTCCATTTCAGCAGAATGCACCAGCCGGAAGCACTGTTGGGGCTTCTGGGAAATGTAGTCCTTTTGAGTGGCGATACACTGTAGGCTTAGTGAGAGAAAACTACAAAATGTCAGCGCCTGTCCAAAGTATTTTTTCTTTAACTTTATGCTGTATCCCGTGCTGTCCCAATCATGCGAGTAATATTAAAATTGGCAGTTGTGTGTCGTGCACAATATTTTTTTTCTTTTTCTTGTGTACAATCATACTTTGAAAAACCGCGAAAGAGCGAGGGACTACTGTACTGGAAGTGAGTTTCTTCCATTATGAAACATGATAATGCATAACTGATGCTCTCCCTTCCTGATCCTCTGCAGAACCAGGACTCGGTAAGCTTGGACACGGTCTGTCGACTTTATGAAGTGGGGCGACATAAATTGGCAGAGGAGGGGGATGATGATCAGGTGAGATTTATTCTGAAATGTAATCAAACGTTGCCTAACCTGCCCAGAACCGCTCAGGTCCAAGCTTGTTCGGGTGTTTGGTTGTGAATATTTAGTCTTCGGTGTATTCTGTGTTCTTCCAGGATGACGAAGATCAGGATGACAATGATTCCTCCGACACAGATGATGATGACGACGATGATGATGATGTTCTCGATATAGAACCTCTCATTCAGGAACTTGCGGATATCGAGGAACGGGAAAATGAAGAGCAGGAGAACCGGGACAGCGCTACCTCGCCTGCGGCCGAAGAGGTATCTGATTTTACCAAACACAGAACGTTTTATTGTGGATGTGAAAAGTAAAATGAATCCAAAGTAGAAAAACCTGATGGACAGTTTTTGTCTCATCTTGGCGAGGATGAGTTTATTTTATGCATTCTTATAAATACGAAGGAAGAAACATTTACAGACGCTGCCATGATTTGTTTTTTAAACCAGATACACTGTTGAGGTGGGGTTTTTTTTTAAGCCCCAAAAAAGAGAGAAACAAGAATATTTGAACATACAGCTGCAAGGAAAAAAAAACATGTGCATCAACAGAAGCCACCTGGAAATAATTATCTGAGGTCCATTTTTTATCTTTTAATAGACGAGTCTCCCGTTGATTTAAGTAGACTAAAACTGTGACTGCAGCCAGCCTGCAGGGGGCGCTCTTACAGTTTCAGCTTTGACTTCTGCACGGTGTTCCTGTGCCTAAACATTAATGCAGTATATCTTGATTATTTAGTGACATGAATGAAATGCAGTATATTCATGAGATGAACACAGCTCTTTATTGACTTTATGACTACCGGAGGTGTCTGTTTCATGAACTGTGCTTTTCTGCAACATTTTTTGACGGGAAGCTTAAAAATATTGTCCCATTTGCATTTACATAAACTTATTGAAATGATACAGGTCTGAACTGCTCCACTTCAGTACAGAGAGCCACGTAAAGTATTAATAAGTCAAAGGTTTGGACAAATTTTAGTATTAAATACAATAAATAACAGATTCTTATATTTGGGTGACTTTCCATGTATGGTAATACAGTAGTCCCTCGTTTATCGCAGGTGTTAGGGTCCACCCCTCCCCCGCGATAAGTGAAAATCCACAAATTAAGGATACAGTAGTCTAGGTTCAAGTAAACTTTATTGTCATTACCATCTCATGTGGTACATGAAAATTATGTACACAAGTAGTAGTAGTAGTATAGTAGTAGTAGTATAGTAGTAGTATTATAGTAGTAGTAGTATAGTAGTAGTAGTATAGTAGTAGTATTGTAGTAGTAGTATAGTAGTAGTATTATAGTAGTAGTAGTAGTAGTAGTAGTAGTATAGTAGTATTAATGGTAGTAGTAGTAATAGTATTATAGTAGTAGTAGTAGTAGTATAGTAGTAGTAGTAGTATAGTAGTAGTATTATAGTAGTAGTATTATTGTAGTAGTAGTAGTAGTAGTATAGTAGTATTAATAGTAGTAGTAGTAATAGTATTATATTAGTAGTAGTATTATAGTAGTAGTAGTATAGTAGTAGTATTGTAGTAGTAGTATAGTAGTAGTATTATAGTAGTAGTAGTAGTAGTATAGTAGTATTAATAATAGTAGTAGTAATAGTATTATAGTAGTAGTAGTAGTAGTAGTAGTATAGTAGTAGTAGTAGTATAGTAGTAGTATTATAGTAGTAGTATTATAGTAGTAGTAGTAGTATAGTAGTATTAATAGTAGTAATAGTAATAGTATTATAGTAGTAGTAGTATAGTAGTAGTATTGTAGTAGTAGTAGTATAGTAGTAGTATTATAGTAGTAGTAGTAGTAGTAGTAGTATAGTAGTATTAATAGTAGTAGTAGTAATAGTATTATAGTAGTCGTAGTAGTATAGGAGTAGTAGTAGTAGTAGTATAGTAGTAGTATTATAGTAGTAGTAGTAGTAGTATAGTATTAGTATTATAGTAGTAGTAGTAGTTATATAGTAGTAGTATTATAGTAGTAGTAGTATAGTAGTAGTAATATAGTAGTAGTAGTAGTATAGTAGTAGTAGTAATATAGTAGTAGTAGTAGTATAGTAGTAGTAGTAGTAGTATAGTAGTAGTATAGTAGTAGTAGTAGTAGTATAGTAGTAGTAATATAGTAGTAGTAGTAGTATAATAGTAGTAGTAGTATAGTAGTAGTAATATAGTAGTAGTAGTAGTAGTAGTAGTAGTAGTATAATAGTAGTAGTAAAAGTAGTAGTATAATAGTAGTAATAGTATAGTAGTAGTATAGTCAGATTCTCCACTGGTGATCAAGCTCTTTGAGTGACAGCTGACTTTCTCCTCCTTATAAAAAAATTTAAAGAAATATTTTTGTTCACTTTTATTAACAAAAATATTTATTTACACTATTACAGTACAGTATTTAGATTTAATTTGATTATTTACACAGAAGGAGGGAGAATGGGAGCGATGAGCACGAGTGTGATTGCAGCGGAGAAGTAGGCGTGGCAGAGAGCGGAGATCATGACCACATCGCTGCAGGAGGGAGCTTCTCCCTGCACCTGTGGGCCGCACACAGGTGCAGGAGGTGCTAAATAATTAAAAATAATTTATTTTAAACAATCCATGCCACTTGTGCAACTCATCCATCAGTCAACCAGTTGTGTCATGTCCAATCTTACTTTGAAAAAACGCACAAGAGCGGGTCCCTGAAAGTTGAACTGTGAAGTAACGAGCGACTACTGGAATTACTTTTGTCACATGGTTGAACGTTTTCGAGCTGCAGCTGAAGCGTCTGCACTTTCACTCAGTGTTGTAACGAAACATGGCTGACACGTGCTCTCTCACTTGTTACTTGAGATAAGTAGCCATAGGTCCACAGCTGGCGTTGGAAAAGTTCTGTTCGTAAAGTATAGTCGCATTTATTTATTGTTATTTAAAAAAAAATATCCATTAAGTCTGTTTTCCTCTCCAGATTGCAGATCTTCTTGGGAGCAGCAGCAGCGAAGACAGTGATGATGAAGATGACTCTGAAGATTCAGATGGAGGACCGAGTAATTGTAAGTTACTCAAGTTTTATTGGCTTGTTGCACTAAACTAATGGTGAAAACATAAGTTTATGTTATTTTATAGAGGTTGTTTTTAAACGGGTTTCATGTCTTTTACTAAATAATTATATTTAATTAAGTTTAACTTGCCAGTAGTTTTATTTCAGGCAGTGTTTTAGTGTTTTAACCTCCCGTACAATAAGAATTATAGATTGGGTAGCTGACTTTAACATTACAGCTTTATTATTGTGCTTTAATTGTTATGCTGCTCTTTAAACACATTTTTTTTTTTTAATTATTCAACTTCTCTGTTAATTATTTTTTTTGTTTGAACGACAGTCGAAGTCAGACAAGTTATCAAAGTTAAAAACATCAAAGCTTGTGTAAAAGTCGAAGCAGAGGTGAAGAAACGGCAGGAGAAATTTAAACTGAACTTTTACTTGATTGTTTTGTTCAAGCTTTCCTATCCTGAATGTTTCAGACGTCTTTTAGATAAATAAAGTACCATAATTTCCGGACTATTGAGCGCACCTGACTATAAGCCTAAAAAAAAAACTAATAATTTTGTAGATACGGATATAGGTCTATTTACACGAAGATTATTTAAGCTTTTAATTAAATCCGTACGGTAACATACACAAATACGTACAGTAAATGCTTTTTTTTTTTCTGAACAGTGCCTGTAACATGGCCGGTTACAAAAAAATAAAATAAATAAACGCAGTAGCCTACCAGGAAGTCACTGATGGCTATCTTCACCTTCCTCCTGCGCAAGCTTGTGCTGTCCTCCGTCACGCAGCTGCCTGCTGCGTCCCGCAGATCTCGGAGCCGTTTTAAATGCACGAGTCACTTATTTCGAGTGACCACATTAGGGCACAAAACGAAGGCGAGTCAACCGTGCTGAAGTGCAGCATTTCTTCGGCTACAAACCGTCAGACCAACTTTTTTTTCCTCCCTCACTTACTGGTTTTGCACCAAAATCAAGCTTTTGTTGTTCGGGTGGTGGGGGACCTCCCGTCGCAGCTCTCTGCTTCGAACCACCTGTCGGGGCTTGCTCCATCCGTTTGCGTGTCCCGTGCTGCGACTCCAAATGTTTCTTCAGATTCGATGTGGTGTTTTTGAAGACGGACAGCACAACGAACCTTGACATTGTCGTCCCTCGCTGACAGAAACTCAAACTAGTTCCAGCTACAACATGCGTGTTTTCCTCCTCGCTCCATTGTTTACGTCTCTGTCGCGGCGTGGTGTCACGTATCACAACGATAACGCGACTGATTTGTCGCATAGACCCGACGTCACTCCCCGAGACGCATAGAGGAAATTAAATTTAACCACTAGAGAAAAATGACAAAAATAGTAACGCACAGTAGTTTGGATAAGTAACTTGAATCTGTTTACTGGATTTTGACATAGCAACGCGTTAGATTACGAGTTACTGAAAAAAGTGGTCCGATTAGAGTAACGCGTTGCTGACGTCACTGGACGAGGTTTAATGTTTTGGCGGCATGAAGCTTGTTAGCACATCAAAAAATAAAAAATTAGCTGCAACATTGTAAAAGCCTCGGGTTCAAAGCGTGTGAACAAGTAGCGGCTTATAGTCCAGAAATTACGGTAGTTCAAAAATGCGCCCTTTGGCTTAAAGACGTTTAAAGGCGTGTTTTTATATAGTCTAATGGAGAAAGGGACAATACGGGACGATAACAGGCATATTTGTTAATAATGAAAGTATCCAGCAGGTCTCAATCATAGAAAATATGAAAGTTTTTATTGTTAGAATTGTTTGTGTAACGTGTTTCAAACTGTGTTGCAGTTTTCAGTGATGGATCAGGTGACGACGAAGTGCTCCTCCCCGAGGGATGGTATTTATGACGCAACAGAAGACCCGCCCCCAAACGCCCCAGGCTGACAATGTGAATATTAATTGAATAATTTGATCCCAAAATCCACAAATTTCTGACAAAAAAAAAAAATGCAGACGTTATTTTTTTCTGCTTCTTGTTTACGTATTTATAAATGTAGCTTTTTTTTTGTGTGTGTAGAAATGATACTCTTTTATTTTTTTTTATAGTTTAAAAACTATATAAATTATCTTTTTTTTTGTTGTCATTTTAAGCAAAGCAATGTAAAATATTAAGAATATTTTGTTTGATTTTTAAAGCGCATCTTTACCCCAAATTGTACTTTTTGTGTTTGGATAGTTTTATTTTTATGGAATTGGTTTGGATCTGTGCAAAGTCACTACAGTGTAGGAATATTTTCATATTCTCTTGTCTAACGCAGGAAACGCTCGACTTTATATAACGAGCAGGCGAGTCCTGACCGAGATCATCTGAATGGGATTCTTGTTTTTCATTTACAGTTTTCAGGTGTTTTTCAGGGATTGTTTTTTATTTTTAGGAAGAAAACAACAAATCAAATTAATTAAATAACAAATCGCAGCAAAGTGTGTTGTGGTTACTTTGATTCTGAAGGGAGAATTAAAATTAAGTTATTAAAAAAAACACTGAACATTTGGATCAAGTGTTTTCTTTTTGTCTTCCTGGGGGAATTTACATTTTTTATTTTATTTTTTATTGCTGGCCACTATGGAGCTTACGTTTGTTTTTAGGCCTTTAAAATACACAAACCCCTGTTAGAAAATAAAAGCTCCCAGCGCGTGATCTTCAGGATGAACTAATGTGCATCAGAGCAACAGAAAATCTGATTTATTATCGGTTTCTATATTCATTTCTTATTTCAAAGTCGTGTTTGGATTTTCATCGAGGGTGTTTTTGTAACCGATTTATTAGATTGTGATAAAACGCGTCACAAAGAAATAATAAATGAAAAAGTTGTTGGTCGAGACTTTTATATTTGATCATTTTTTCTTTATTCGTTAAATGTTCTACGTAATTTTTTAGGAAAAAGTACTTTTGTTATTGTACATGTTTAATCTGACATATATCACATCTAAACAACAACAATGTAATTTATATTTGTTTTTGAATATTGGCTGGAATTGGCCTTTCGCTTCAACCAAGGTTTTTCATTTTGGCCCTCTCCCTTGTGTAACTGAGTTTGACACCCCCTGCGTAGAGGATGCATTTATACATTTTAGTGGTTTTTTTTGTACTTTGACAGTTACAGGCTGAATCAGTCATGAACACCAGCCGGCGGGACATCCTGAACTCTGGATCTTGGAGCCGGCAGCTCGTTCCTCTCGTCTTTATTTGTTCACAAAACGGTTCAGTATGTGCCTGAGAACGTTTCATCCATCCATCATCTTTTACCAGTTTCTTACTTTTCGGGTCGCGGGGGGTCACTGGTGCCCGTGTCCAGCAGTCACTGTGCGAGAGTCGGGGGGACACCCTGGACAGGTCTCCAGTCCATCACAGGGACACTTGGAGACAAACGAGACAAACAATCATTCACTCTCTCACTCACACCTAGGGACAATCTAGAGTCACCAATCAGCCTAACATGCATGTTTTTGGAGAAAACCCACACATGCACAGAGGGAACATGCAAACTCCACCCAGAAAGGCCTCCAGGCTGGGATTTGATCTAGTGACTTTCTCGCTGAGAGGCAGCAGCTCTAACAGCTGCGCCACCGTGCTGCCCAAGAACTTTTCATCTAAGTCCATTTTTTGTTTGTCTGGTGTTTGAGTTCATGCTTATTGGGATAAACATATATATATATATATATATATATATATATATCGGAGAATCTGTTTCACAATCTGGGAGCAATAAGCACATCTTTGAGCTGTTTAAATGACTGCTATTGTGCAAAATTCAGATTATTATTATTTTTTTAATTTTAAACTGTGACGTCATAAGTATGAGCTACTCCTGCAGTACCCAAGTCTTTTTGTTTAAACCCGACATACGAGCGATGGACAAAACCACAGAATGTAAGAATTATTTTTAGGTTTGAAGCAGTCGATGATGATGCAGAAAAAAAATCGGTAAAGGTTTTACAGTGTGGTAACAGATGACAATTATATGTTTATTGATTTGTGTGACACTTTCAGGTTATTAATACGACAGCAACTAATGTAACTTGAGTTATTTTAATTAAACGTTATTATCAAGTTACTATAATTCTGTTATGACAGGATTTTTATATTTTTTTACTTTATTTTCAGTTGCTAAAATGTTTTTTTAAACACAAGGTTGTAATTTTCACTTCAAGCTTTGTGTTATTACACATTTATACTAAAAATTGTTTACCTCATTGAACAATTATTTCTAAACGGACAGCACTCTCTTTTAAAACGTGAGTTGTAACGATATTTGGTCATTACGGGTGAAACAACAGCTCTTCCATGTTCAGGCCAGCTGACGTGTTGAACAGACTTTGTGCTGTTTGATTATATTATAGACGTGTCGAACAATCTGCAGCAAAGAGCCAGGCCTGAATGTTTTATTAGTCAAAATCATCATTTTATTTATTTGTATTTTCCTGTGAGTTGTTTTTGTCTCAAACTGTTCGTCACAGCTGCAGACAAGACGTTTTAAAACCTGAATGAATTTATCTGAAAAAAGCATCTGTACACCTGGATAGTGTTACAACTTGAATTAAAACTTGGAGGTTTGATTTTGTTTGTTTATGTGTGTGTGTGTGTGTGTGTGGGGGGGGGGGGCGGGTTGCAGCAGGCTGTGTGTAAATATGTTTGACATGTTTAAATTTATCAGCCAGTTTTTTTAAAACAATAAAAAATTGCTCTATAAAGCTCGTCTGTGTCATAAAACTAAAGTGAGTTAAAATGAAAATGAACCACATTTATAGTTTCAAATGAATCGTCTTGATGCGTTTCTCGATTTAACTGGGATTGCATCTGTATCTGACACATTCACATGATGTATTTATGGTGTACTCATGTTTAATTGTGCATTGTTCCTCATTTAAATAATTTTAAATTATAGAAATGTAGATATGTTGCAAGATTATTGTGTATCACTGGATGTTTTACAACATCCAACCAGGGGAAGATGTTTAAACTCGATTTAACTCCAATAAATCTGAAGTGGCAGAGAAGCATGTTAGACTGCAGGACATGTATGAGGACAGCAGGACATGTATGAGGACAGCAGGACAGTGGTGAGATGTGCTGTGACAGACAGCTTCAAAGTGGAGGTGGGAGTGCATCAAGGATCGGCTCTGAGCCCCTTCTTGTTTGCTCTGGTGATGAACCAACACATGAGGTCAGGCAGGATTCCCCATGGACTATAATGTTTGCAGATGACATTGTGATCTGTGGTGAGAACAGGGAACAGGAGGAAGAGAACTTGGAGAGGTGGAGGTATGCACTTGAAAAAGAGGAATGAAAGTCGGCGAGGGAGGCCGGTGGAACAGAGAGGCTACAAGGAGCAGAGGTGCAGTACTTCAAGGACATGGGGTCCACTGTCCAGGAAAATGGGGAGTGGTAAAATGGTGAAGAAGAGTCCAGGCAGGATGGAGTGGATGGAGAAAAGTTTACAAGACAGTTGTGAAACCAGCTATGTTGTATGGTCTGGAGACAGACATGGACAAAAAGACAGGAGACAGAACTGGAAGTGACAGAAATTAAGATGTTGATGTTCTCCTTAGGAGTGACAAGGATGGAGAAGATTAGGAATGAGATCATCAGAGGTACAGCACAGGTTGAACAACTGGGAGATAAAGTTAGAGAGGACACACTGAGATGGTTTGGACATGTCCAGAGGAGGGACAGTGGTTTGGACATGTCCAGAGGAGGGACAGTGGGTATATTTGTAGAAGGATGTTAGAAATGCAGCTGCCAGGAAAAAGACAAAGAGGAGACATATGGATGCAGATAAAGAGGACATGGAGGTAGTTGGAGTGAGGACAGAGTGAGATGGAGGAGGATGATTTGCTGTGGAGACCCTGAAGAGGGAAAAGCTGAAAGACAATCCAGGGACGTAGATGTGCTGCTCCCATATGACCACACGAGGGCGCCATTGCACAAACATTTAACTCCTCTGATGTGAACATAAAACATGCAGATGCAAATAAATCATGCACATGTCAGTTTAGAGTAAGAGTATTTGATCAGGAGTATGTACAACAACATATCAATCAGAGGCACTAAGAGGCTCCAGAAAATGGTTTATGTTAAATATGCAACTGTTGGAGGTGCTGTAAATGACTGATCAACATCTGGAGCTACAGTTGCTCATCAAGAACAGACAAAAGTATCAAAGTAAACAAAATCTGTTTTTGAGCCAGAGATCGTGGCCATAAGTGAACGTAGACTGACCGGTAAACAGAGTTTTACCTTACTGCTCAGCTCCCTCTTCACCACAACAGACCGGCACAAAGTCCGCAATACTGCAGAAGACGTACCAATCCATCTGTGAAACTCGTGCTCCATTCTTCCCTCACTCTTGAGCAAAACTCCAAAAATACTTGAACTTGAGGCAGAACCTCTCTCCAAACCTGAGGAGGACCATGTTCTCAAATTAAATATTGCGAGCAGAAACTGTAATCAGAATCTGTCTTGATGGCACTACATCGCCCTACTTGATCTTCAATGCTTATTTTTATCAGTTGTCTTGTTATTTTGATTTTTTTCCCCACATTTCGCAGCCTGTTAGCTCATTTATAAACCTTTAATCAAATTGCCATTTTGTTTGTCACTTTTAAAGTCCAGGATCAACGTTCCAAAGTAAACCCAAAAAGTGCAAAAACAAGTTACACTTTGCATTTGATGTAGATTTATTTAGACAATTCATTTTGTATTTATTAATAATATTTAATCATGTAGGAAAATATAGGCAGTAAAAAAGTTGGCAAATGTCTCCATTTTATTTGTAAAAACATGTTTACATATTTAAATTTTTGTAATTCTAACCGTTCTATCATGAAGGGTCATTTACTTTTTTGCATTCAGTCATGATTTTGCTTTTATTTGCAGTCAGTTTAAGATGTTAATTCTTTTGTCACACCTTTTAAAGACCCCTGTTGACCTTTGACCTCATCACATCACATTAGTCTCTACAATTTTACTAAATAACATTGGTCTGATTCCACAACAGCGCAGACATCGTTTACTCCTTTCAAGCTTCATGTCGTGGTTGTCCTTTGGGTTCAGTTGTGTTTCTGTTCAGATCTTGTGTTTTTTTGTTTGTTTGTTTGTTTGCTTGTTTTTTCAGTGTTGGTGTTTTATTTTGAATATTCTGGTTTAGGTGTTGTTTTGTTCCCAGTGTTTCTTGTGCCAGATTCATTTACCCTCAGTAAGTCTCTCCAGTCAGCCTCCTCACCTGAACCTGATCAGAGTCTCAGGTGTTTCCACTTTCCCCTCTCACCAGCTTGATATTTAAATCATTTCTTGTGACCACTTCACTGTTTATGTAAGTTTTACTGCAACTTTTGTTTTTGTTTATTAATAAATCCATCATTATTTTACTTCCTGCTTCTCGTGTCTGCTTAATGCACTTCAAGTCTAATGCAGATCTTGACTCCAGCTCCAACCTGGTTTTCTGAAGATTCAGCCTTTGTTTACATTCAGTGCGTACCCGCTCATCATTATTTGGGAAAACTACTCGAGTAAACTCAAACTACTGCATCATTTGAGTTCAGGACCCCCCCCATGCAATGAAAACCTCGTTTGAAATATGTTTTTATATGTGCCTTACTGCCTTTAAAGCTCATTTCGCGTCTTTTCCGCCCGTGCGTCAGAGAGCACGCGCCTCGGTCTCTCCCATCAATGATGGAGGATCACCTGCTGTATTTTAGCTCTTGCGTCATCCGGTGAAAACCTTTAACCATCAGGTGCTCAGTGCGGAGTGAAACCTCGGAGTCATCCTCCCCCCTCGCCCTCCCAATCCTCTTACACCAACAGCACGCACGCACAGGTCCGGGACAGCTCGAGTTAGTGGCAACTCGCGGACGCATGCGTGCACGACCCCCCCGAGTAAGAAAACCAGAGAAAACGAGGACCGAGATTTCTTCGAGGTTTGAGGAGACCAGGGAGTTCTTTCCAGGTTTTGGTTTTGTGTGGAGACTGGACGTGTCCAGACTCGTGTGCAGCGCGCGCAGCAGACATGGACGGACACAACGCGCCCTCCTGACCGGATTAAAAACAGCTCTCCTCTTCTTCAGCACCCAAAGAATTCCAATATCTCCTCTGCTGACTTCCAGAGGGAAACTTTTCCTCCCCCCTCCTCCTCTCTGGGTGACAACTCTGCGGGATTTCCATGAAGCGACGCCTCGGGTGACTCGACTCGTCCCGGGTTCTGCTCCGGTTCCAGCCGGACATCATGTGGACACCGACCGAGGACGAGAAAATCGGTGTTGGTGAGCTGAACCTTTGTTGTTGTCGTGTTTTATTCTGGAGCCACTAGAGGATGTCAGACCCCCCCCGCCCCATTCTTGGCACAACACATTTGTCACCGAGATGCTTCCAGCTGCTTCTGCATCACGGAAGACTTGCTGGTAAATGATGTGAAGGAATGATGTGGTCCTTCAGAGGTGAAGGCTGTGGGTCTGTCCACGGCACCACTCTGCTCTTTATTTCTTTGCAGAAGAGGAACAGCAGGGCAGGTTTAAGGAGGTTTGGGTCCCTGGGCTGGAGCTAGTTTTGGTGCACCGGTGACATCTTTTCATTACCACGTCCTGATTACAGTCCTGGGTCTGTGCGTGTTAATTTTAAAGGTTCAGATATGATGCTGCTCTGTCACACTTTGTTTTTTTTTTAAATGATACGTTGTTGCACAAAGCTCAACATAATCTGAGCTGATTTTCTGTGTTTGCAACTGAAATGTTGTTCATGCTCCAGATGTTTAGTGTTATGCAATCGAGAGGTCAAGCTCACACGCAGCTGCTCGGAGGAGCAGGTGGAGCAGCTGCTTCCCCATTTTCTTAAATGTGGGTGCCACCTTGTGCTTTTACTCCTTTAAAAAAACAAACAAAAAAACCCCCCTAAAATATGTAATGCCAAGTGTCACGGTGGTGCAGTTGGTAGAGCTGTTGCCTCTCGGTGAATAGGTCGCTGGATCAAATCCCGGCTACTCCGGTTTCCTCCCACAGACCAAAAACATGCATGTTAGGATGATTGGTAACTCTAAATTGTTCATAGGTGAGAAAAAGAGAGAGAGAGAGTGATGGTTGTTTGTCTCTGTGTCCCTGTGATGGACAGAGACCTGTCCAGGCTGCACAGTTTGTGTGTAAAGTTAAAATAAGTGGCTACACTCTTTACTTGCACGTGTCGAAACAGACTTTCCTGGCTATGAAAGGTAAAGAACAGAGTAAAACCTTGAGCGACGTCACATCGTTCAGGAGCGCAGGATGTTCCAGCGTTCATGAAACATCGGTCCAGGCTAATGTTGGACTCTAAAAGTGAACGTTTTGTAAATGTCTACTTCTGGTTTCACATCAACATTTACCCAAGGGACGCTGGTTGCACTGAATAAAAGATGTTGAATATGCAGCTGCCAGAGAGTAAGTTCATGGATGTAGGAGGATAAGAGGGTTTGTGTGACAGAGGAGGATGCTGGGATACGGTGAGATGGACCATTCCTAGAGGGAGCAGCTGGTAATGGAGTCTCTTTACAGAAAAAAACACAAAAACATCTTAGGTTGAAATTGTTTCAGTCACACAGAAAAAAACAACATGTTAAATTCATATTTTTTCCCTTAATGACCTGTTTAGTTTCCATTTTCCTGTTTATGAGCATATCTAAAGTACGGTTTGTGGTGCTCGTGGTGTGAAACTGAATCTTGGTGTCATAAACGAACTGCAACATGACGCAGGCTATTTGTGGGAGCAGAGGCCCTGCTGCAGGATGGAGATACTGTCTTTTGTAACATAAAGTGTGTAACCATGGAGAAGTGAAGCGGATGCAGCAGCAGGATCCAGTTAATGGACGGAACAGTGAGCTGAAACTACGAGCCAATATTGTGCTGCAGCATAATGGCAGAGAATGGTGTCAGATGAGCGTTGGTGGTTTAGGGCCCATTAGTCAATAATCCACAGTTCAATTATTGTCTCGGTCTCTATCATTCAACACCACCCTTCCCCCGTCACCACTTGCTGCACTTGGTCCTTTAAAGCAGCCACTGTCGCTCATTTCTTGGATGATTTCTTGCTTTTTCTTTGGTGCAGGATCTACCTCTGCTGATTTGTGACGTCTTTTTAAAAGCTACTTGTTTTCAAACAAGTTTTCTTGTTTGTTGTTAAAAGTGTTAATTCGTCTTTCTTATTTACGAGCCACGTTTCCAAGCCCGTTATCCTTTTTCATGGATATAGAGTAGGCGTGTCACAATAACAAATTTTGCTGGGCGATTATTTGTCTCAGAAATTATTGCGATAAACGATAATATTGTTTGAAATTTGACAATGATTAGTAATTATTGTCAAACTCAAGAAGAAATGTTTAATTTGTTTTGTGTGTAGTACCTTTTTTGACCACCAGATGGCAGTATAAGTGTTTGAACTGAAGGATGGATAGTGAGGGAGCGAGCCGCATGTCTCTTTAAGAAAAATGAGAGGGAAGCGTCTTGACGTGACATGGGCTGTCTCTCTTCGGTTCTTAAAATGGCGGGCGCTCGTGTGGTTTGAGCTCTTTAGCGTAGCATTTTTCACACACAGCTTTTAATAATAAAATCAGTAAACAAGTTCTCAGCTTCTTTTTGCAGAGAAAAACAACTTTTGACACGAAGGCACAAGTTTCAACCATGAATTTTGGAGCTTCGACAAGACGGAGGCTTTTTCCCCCAAGGTCGACCTGTTAGCTTAGCTCGTAGCTTAGCTTCTCATCTTGGCTGCTTTTAACGATCCAAAAACGCAATTTTGGATCGTTAAAACAAGTTTTGAAGAGAAAAGAGAAAGGGAGGGGTCAGTGAAGAACACCAGAGTTGAGCCTTTTTGTCGTCCAGTGTCTTCAGTAGAAAGAGAGACACAAAGAAACAATGAAGCCGATGAATGAAAACGAGGTCGATAATTTTCATTTATCATGCGATTAATTGATTTATTGTTTATCGCGACAGGCTTAATATAGAGTCATGAAGAGCCGGCTGCAGTTGAACAGACCTAACATTCGATTTACAGATTTTTATTGTTTTATTAAGACAGTTCATGCGTTTCTGGTTGAGGCCGCACTGTGGATGGTTCTGCCGTGTTCAAACCATCTTACACTGTTTTGGTGTTAGCGTTTAAAGTTGCCGCCAGTCTTAAAGCGTGTATCTTGTAAAAATATAATTTAAATGATTGAACATTTCCGCATTAATTAGTTCTAACCACCCACGCAGCTGAAACGCCGTGAAACTAATCTAAACTTCCACAGTCCAACAGAATTTGCACAAGTGTTTATAATGAGGTGACACCCCCGTCCCCCCCTCCCCTGGAGGTCGACGCCATCGACTGACAGCTGCCCGGGCCTTTCCGAGTGACCGATTAGGCGAAGCTCCACACCAGCATGGCGCTGGAGGAGGGATTCGGACTGCTGACAGGAAGTCGATGAGGGGAATCATGACTCCGGCACTCTGTTAATTGGAAAGAGACATTTACTGAATTTGAATGAGACACTTTCTGTTTCCCTCTTTGTAGGCTAATCATAGCTTTTCTCTGCTTGAAAAATCAGATTTACATCACTTCCTACAAGCTTTCAGCGAATCACAACAGACGGGGATTATAATCTGACGGTGAAAACGAAACAAGCATTTAACACATTTTCAAACGGATTATGTAAAACAAACGTAAAGCAGTTTTTTAATGTTGCCTCAACGTGAGCCCATCAGTTGATGCAAATTACCACTATGGTTTTTATAAGAGTCACAAATTATGAATTGAACTGGTACTCATAATAAAAATAATCCAACGGTGAAGGATGGATCTTTGAGTTTGAGGAGTCATGTTTCCCGTCAGAGTTTTGATGCATGTGTGGCCGTTTGTTTGTCTGTTTGTGATTTTTGCTGGATAAGGCTTTGCATACCAAGGCGCAGAGAGTGGTAACTCGGAGGCGTTCCATTGGAGTTGGGATGAGTAGAGCCCGCTTGTAGAAAACAGCCATTCAGCTGGATGAATGCAGCTTTGTGGCACCCTCGGAGGTTTTCTGAATGCAGCTTCACCTCCCCCAGGGCCGCTCTGCACCCTGCTCAGTTCTCACACTCCACACAGAGCGCAGACAGACAGGCTGATAGACAGACAGGCTGATAGACAGACAGGCTGATAGACAGACAGATGGACAAATGAACAGACATCCCAGACAAACTATATATAAAACACCAAAGTTCATGCTCAATAATCCAGGTATAAATCCAACAATGTTCAGTCAGGTTGTCTGGATGGTTTCTTTTTTTTTCTGAGATGTTTCATCCTTCATCCAAAGGACTTCTTCAATCTGAGAATCATTTGAAGAAGTAAATCTATCTGTCTATCTATCTGTCTGTCTGGCCGTCCGTCCGTCCGTCCGTCCGTCCGACCGACCGACCGACCGACCGACCGACCGACCGATCATTGTTGGATTTTATACCTGGATTATTGAGCATGAACTTTGGTGTTTTAAACCACTTTGGCATGACTGTCTCAGAGGAGGTGACGAGGGAGAGGGCGGGTCCCAGAGGCCATCTTAGCACCAGCAAACTGGGTTTTTTTTCCCATTATGGAGTATGCGATTTGCGGGAATCAGTTTTGTTTGGTGGCTCCTCAGACTGAAGAAGTCCTTTGGATGAAGGACGAAATGTCTCAGCAGAAAAAGAAACTGTCTAGATGACTTGACTGAACTTTATTGGATATATATGATATATATAAAATGCACGTGCTCAAGGTTTGTCTTTTACTGAATACAAGTTTTTTTCTTTAATAAATTTAACAGATTGCAAAACTGAACATTGACTGAAAAGCATCTTGAATATTTTGAACCCAATACATTTCTTTACGCACAACGAATCATCCTACATGTCGCTGCGTGAGTGCAGCTACAGCGTGCGCTCTCAGGACATTATTACCTGCAGTGTCCCCTCAGTCAGGACAGAACTAGGCCAAAGGACCTTCTCCTACTCTGCTCCTGTTTCCTGGAATATCTTACAAAAAGATTTGAAGCTCTCGACCTTGACCTCTCTTGACATTGACCTTGACCTCTAAGAGGCTTCAAACATCTGTTAAGTTCCTGGCAAGAACCAACGCAGACATGTTCCTGTTTTTAGTTTTCTACACCGCCTGATAATCTAGATCTTTTTTGCTACTTTTCCTTTTAATTACCAACTTATTTTCATTTGTTAAATAAAAAAAAAATTGTACACATATTTTATGATCGTCTATTGTTGTCGTCACTTTTTGTTAAAATCAGGTCTCTCTT